CTGTCTGTATATCTTTCTTCAATCTGCTATTATATATGCCGGACTTATATACAAAAATAGAGGGCGTCTGGAAAACACTAGAGTTGCCAGGAACAGTCATGATCCTTCTAGAAACTCATGACGTGTTACCAGCGTCAGCTGACTTTCGCTGTCGTAACAGTATATTTAGTAATGTTTTAAGCTGTTTTCTGGTATCAAGGTCACGGAAATATTTCACAAAGCTATTTCATGGCGTTAAGGTTACGTTATAGTATATGAAGGTGTATTTTGGTTTTAATATTATGTAACAATTACATTTTTTTAGAGTTAACTTTATTAAAAACTTCACAGGGATATTTTCTGGCGTTAAGGTTATGTAATAATTTTATAAGACTTTTCTAGTGTTAGTGTTTGTTATATAATAATGTTTTAAGCCATTTTTGGCATTAAAGTTATGTAAACATTTCACAAAGCTATTTTCTGATGTTAACATTTCATGATAATGTCTTAAACTATTTCCTGACATCAATATTATGTAATAATGTATTACACTATTTTCTAACGTTTAAGTTATGTAATAATTTAACGGAGCTGTATTTTTGCGTTAAGGGTATTTAATAATTTAACGAAGCTGTTTTTTGTGGTTAAGTTCATGCAAACACTTCACGAAGTTGTTTACTGGCATTAAGGTTATATCAACGAGGCTGTTTTCTGTTGATTGGTTTGGTTTGGTTTGTTTTGAATTTCGCTCAAAGATCCACAAGAGGGCTATCTTTGCTAGCCGTCCCTAATTTAGCAGTGAAAGACTAGAGGGAAGGCAGTTAGTCATCACCTCCCTCCGCCAATTCTTGGGCTACTCTTTTACCAACGAATAGTGGGAACTGACCATCACATTATAACGCACCCACGGCTGAAAGGGCTGTGTGGGGGGACGGGGATTCGAATCCACGACCCTCAGATTGCGAGTCGAGCTCCATAACCACCTGTCCATGCCGGGCCGTTCTGTTGAAAAAGTTATTTAATAACTTCACTACACGCTCCCGTCATCAAGTGATTTAAGAATATAAAAACCTACGTATTGTTAAGAGTCTGGGTGAAATTATTCCAATACCTAAGATTCTGTTTAAAATTTGGATCAATAACTACTGATAACTGGAGGTATTGTTAAAGATACCGAACTTCCATAACTGAAACTGGCTCTACATTGACTAAAATAACATAACTTCAGTACGATTTTGTCTGTGTGTGTGTATATATATATATATACAC